AATATATCTCCACTAGAAGACCCGAGCCAATTTCCATAAAACCTGAGTCAATGTCAATCTCTACCGCAAAGAATTTAACAATGTTCCACGAATAAAGGCATCTTCAATACTCCACAGTCGTGTGCACACTACGTTCCTCCATCACACACATTGTCAATGCTTCACAGTCGTGTATACACCACGTTCCTCCATAACATACATTGTCAATACTTCACGGTCGTGTGCACACTACGTTCCTCAATCACATACACTGTCAATACTTCACGGTCGTGTATACACCATGTTCCTCCATCACACACATTGTCAATACTTCACGGTCGTGTATACACCACGTTCCTCCATCACACACATTGTCAATGCTTCACAGTCGTGTATACACCACGTTCCCTCATCACACACATTGTCAATACTTCACGGTCGTGTATACACCACGTTCCTCCATCACACACATTGTCAATACTTCACGGTCGTGTATACACCATGTTCCTCCATCACACACATTGTCAATACTTCACGGTCGTGTATACACCATGTTCCTCCATCACACACATTGTCAATACTTCACGGTCGTGTATACACCACGTTCCCCAAACACATACTCTGTCAATACTTCACGGTCGTGTAAACACCATGTTCCGCCATCCCATACATTGTCAATACTTCACGGTCGTGTATACACCACGTTCCTCCATAACATACATTGTCAATACTTCACGGTCGTGTATACTCCACCTTCCGCCATCACACACATTGTCAATACTTCACGGTCGTGTATCCACCACGTTCCTCCATCACACACATTGTCAATACTTCACGGTCGTGTATACACCACGTTCCTCCATCACATACATTGTCAATACTTCACGGTCGTGTATACACCACGTTCCTCCATCACACACATTGTCAATACTTCACGGTCGTGTATACACCATGTTCCGCCATCACACACATTGTCAATACTTCACGGTCGTGTATACACCACGTTCCTCCATAACATACATTGTCAATACTTCACGGTCGTGTATACTCCACCTTCCTCCATCACATACATTGTCAATACTTAACGGTCGTGTATACACCACGTTCCTCCATCACATACATTGTCAATACTTAACGGTCGTGTTTATTTGTTGTTTCACGCCGCACACAGCAATATTCCAGCTATTTGACGGCGGTCTGTAAATAATCGACATCATGAGCATTGGTCCACCACTCAAGTGGGATACAATGACATGCATTAACCAAGTCAGCGAGCCTGACCACCGGATCCCGTTAGTCGCCTCTTACGACAAGCATAGTCGCCATTTACAGTAAGCACCGGTTGCTGAAGAGCTATTCTAACCAAGATTCTTAACGGGTATCCACGGTCGTGAAGGGCGATTGGTCGCCTGGTTCGATTTACCCCATGGTACAATGTGTGAGACCCATTTCTGGTGTTCTTGTCGTGATATTGCTGTAATTTTGCTAAAACAGCCTAAAACCAGACTCACTCACTCACAGACTTACCTAATTGTAACGCTGAGATCGCTTTGCCAAACGCAGTCCTGGGCCCTGTTTCTCAAAGCAATCTTAGCGCTATGGTAATCGTAACTCCCATACTTTAACATAGGCTTACGATCATTGTAGCGCTAAGATCGCTTTGAGGAACGAAACCCCCAACGCCACATTGAGTCAAGCTACTCCAACTGATGGCCACGATATTCTTTTCATCCCGGTTTCTCCTAGTAATGGGTTCGATATTTACAATAATCCAATATCCATAATTTTCTCGTGTAAATGCTAAACAGCCCATTACATCTACATATTGATATTCCTTTCTACACAATCCACACAACCTCTCCCCCTCAATTATCTTGGCCGCCAAGAACACAACTCAAAATCATTAATTGGATTATAATCTATCAAATTGTACATTCATATAAAGATGATAAGGTTTTTCAAAACGGTAATGTGAGATTAATAAACATACAATCGATACATAAACTACTCCAAATTAACAATTACATACAAACCACACAATGATATGACATGAATCGAACGGAGGCTTGTTTTTTGAACCGGTAATCCATATATTTTACGTCCGCTTTACTGAATCTGTGAATGTGTTTAGATTGGATCGATGGCCAGAATCTATTGTTGCTGCTGCTGCGCTACTGTTTATTTTTTTAAAAGATTATTCCGCGCAATAATTATTTAAATCTAAATAAATGAATTATATCAAATGTCAGTTATTGATGTATGACATGTGACTGGATTCGGCGGCGGCGTGGACGATGCTCCTGCTATCAACCCTAAGTTTGTCTGGGCTAGCCGGTGTGACAGCTGTAACGTTGTAGGATTCACTTAATCACTTAAACTTTCATACACTTGACATACTTTTTCTATCACATGTACATGTTACATAAAGCATATAGACCCGTGAAGATCCGGGTTCGAGTTGGTCTTCTGCAACCCATGCTTGTAATAAGAGGCGAGTATGCTTGTCGTAAGAGGTGACTAACGGGATCGGGTGGTAAGGCTCGCTGACTTGGTTGATGCATGTCATCGTATATCCAGTTGCGTAGATCGATGCTCATGATGCCATCCACTGGATTGACTGGTCCAGACTCGATTATTTACAGACCGCAGTCATATAGCGATACTTTTGTTGAATGATGCGTTAAACAACAAAGAAGCAACTAGTGGTTATTTAAAGCGTTCGCTCGTCATGCCGAAGACCCGGGTTCGATTCCCGACATGGGTACAATGTGTGAAGCCCATTTCTGGTGTCCCCCGCCGTGATATTGCTGGAATATTACTATAAGCGGCGTACCCATACAGCAACCCATCAAAAACCCATGCTTGTCGTAAGAGGCGAATAACGGGATCGGGTGGTCAGGCTCACTGACATGGTTGATGCGTGTGATCGATCCCAATTGCGTGGATCGATGCTCATGATGTCAATCACTGGATTGTCTGGCTCGATTATTTACAGACCGCCGTCATATAGCTGAGTGCGGTGCTAAACAACAAACAAACTTTGGATCATAGGGGTATGTATTGGGACCAGTGGGACCCCTCTAGTCGGTATCCCCACAAGGAATACAAAGGGACGGCTTCTCGGAGAGCGATGGTCGGAAATGCATTACGTTGCAATCTGCTTTTTATTTACATTGTATTTACAAAACGCGAGATTGGATGATTCGTTTCCTTGAAGCAAACAATGCCACAGACGAACAGTAATTATATGATCATATACTGTTGTCTGTCATGGTGTCGCTAGGAATTACATGAATAACACAATAGCTCCGCGGTCAGCTGGAAAGAGAGGGTAGAATCTCGTCTATTCGTAACACGGTTAGAGTTGCTCCAAGTCTGTACTGAATGATAAGTCCATGGCTGTATTGTAATTTTATCCTTACAGTAGGCATGTCTAGAGTGAGTGCGTATCGTTTTAAGCCGCTTTTAGCAATATTTTCAGGACATCAGAAATTGGCTTCACACATTGTATCCATGTGGGGAATCGAACTCGGGTCTTCGGCGTGACGAGCGAACGCTTTAATCACTAGGCTATCCCACTGCCCCAGGCATGTCTAGATAAACCGACAGTACATTTCTACGGACGCCAGTCCTCATAGGGTAAGGGCGGTCGGGCAGCCTAGTGGTTAAAGCGTTCGCTCGTCACGCCGAAGACCCGGGTTCGATTCCCGACATGGGTACAATGTGTGAAGCCCATTTGGGGTGTCCCCCGCCGTGATATTGCTGGATTATTGCTAAAAGCGGCGTAAAACCATACTCACTCACTAACTCATAGGGTAAGGTGAAATGTCGCGTTCAAGATTATTGCACTTCTATACAGACGTGCATGCACGTGTGTGATTGTACTAGTCCCGACTAATGACGATCTTATAATGCTAGCCCACCATGCCACAGTTTAACATGAATACCTCACTCAGCCATAGTATACTGACTCCGAGCATACAAGTCCTTGTTTAAGCCCCTTAAATCTGAGCGTCAGGCAGGGTACTATATCTTTAACGTCTTTTGGTATGACGCGACCGGGGATCGAGCCCCGAACATTCCGCTTTCCGGGCAGACATTCTACAACTAGACCAAGGAGGCTGTACTTCTTTTATAGGGACAACTGGTTCTATGATTAATATAATAAATGGATTGTGATTTGTACTAATAAACATTGCCTTAGAGACTTGTGCAAGTCTAGTGTCATATTCATTAGTCCGCTTATGATATATGTACTGTGTATATTTAGTTCCTGGCGCATACTGATCTTTTGTGATGAAAAAAATAACATATACTTCTCAGGAGAAGTTAAAGAACACACTTTTTTCATGTTATAGTTGGCATGACAGATTAGCTTTAGTAATATGAAAGAATCGTGTGGTCTTTAACTTCTTTTGAGTAGTATGTTTTACGTGTACTCGTCTGAAAACATATTTATTAATCTCATTCACACAGGCAATAATTAAAGGGGGTCGACATGCTTGCCGTAAGAGGTGACTAACGGGATCGTGTGGTCAGGCTCGCTGACTTGGTTGATGCAGTATATCGTATCCCAATGACGTACATTGATGCGCATAATGTCAATCACTGGATTGCCTGGTCATATCGTTGGAATATTGTTGAGTGCAGCGATAAACAACAAACAAACACATAAAGCGAGTCAGCATCCTTCCATAACTCGAAATAAATTGAACAATCGATCTCTCATTGATATACTATCTAATTATGTGATTGAAAAGTTACGAGTAATATTATCTCTAGCTTCGAAGTCCATGTATTTGTTTCAGTCACTGATTTCATTTCAGTAATGTAGGTCACCGGGTAAACACGACACTGGTTTTAGAGTTCGCTTCGTATCTACACCCCCACGGAGTGTAACTCACCACCGAATATGATAAACTTGCCTGGAGGGTCAGGCAGTGCCGATCTCAAGATACCAGACAACGCACCGACCAATCAGAGCTGGCGTTACAACGGCCGCTAGGCCCTCCAGAGCGTCCCTTGCAACGCGACAAGCTCATAGCATGTGTGAGGTCGACGCGAGAGAGACGTGAGACGGGCCGTCAATACTTTATCTATGGGACTGTGTATATGTACGGTTTAATGACACCGTAACACTCTTCATGTCTAGTCAATGATGTCTTTTGTGAGAAAAAGAACATTATATTCAACTGACGACACAAAATAACAACTTTGTGGATTTATCATATTTTTAGTGAAAAAATACCCAAAAAATGTTTATTATTGTGAAATACGGCAATAATGAATCACTGCTGTGCAACCCTAGCTGTGCCGTGGTCAACCTGCTTAACAGTATAAAGAAGCGCGCAGGATATGGAAACACGGGACTGATACTCGATCTATCAGACGAAACAGGTAAGGTTTTTTTACTGCACACATGCTCACATAACGCTGGTGTCACATATTTTCTTCGTGCCTCTGTTGCAGCTAAGCCGACGGATTACTATGATCCGCATGTACCAGTAAGAGTATTAGCAACCAGCGTTTTATTTGACCTGCACTTAATAAGTGCGCTTTATGCTGGTACTGGGAGTCTCTTGACTTAAGAACGAGCCCAGCTGACGTAAAGCGATCAGTCACATTTGACGTAAGTCGTCAATCAGGAGTATTGATAAATGGGTAGTTTTGATACGGGTGTTGTAGATCAGGTTAATGTCTGTTGGCCACACACGGTGATTCACTACAATAGTTGGACAACCCGTGTTTTACACGACATTATTTGGATTACCCGTATATTATAAGCTGGTCATTGGTATTAACGATTGTGATCCGTTCTCAGACGTGTTCAAGCCTAAGTTTTAAGAGTACAGTTACCTGTGTTTGGAAAGTGTGCAATAGAAATTACGTATCTATTGTATATTTAATACCAAATATTTTATGAATTTATGTAGGTATGTATACATTACTGCCTTGTATTACATAATTGTGAAATTATATAACCACATACGTTTGATCAACATATATGTTTTTATCATGTTTACCAGAATAAGTACTTAACACTTTGACAATAATACTCTTTTTAATCATTACCTTTCTGAACCGTTAGCCAAACATAATACAAATTACATTTCTTTCTCGGTGTGTAAACATCACTGTTTACTGTTAGTTTCTACAGTATCCGACAAACAATTGTTAAAATCTATGCTGAGTGGACCCAACCATGGAGAATTCACTACCGTTGCTCGCTCATCCGAGTCCCGCGTCACCCACCGCCTGGCTCTGCTTGTTCCTTATTAACTCTGAGGTCATCAAAGAGGCATAGATCACACACTTGATCATCTCTCGCTGTGCTGTATGGGGTGTAGACGCGCTGTCAGTGTGTGGACTTGCTGTCACCTCTGTATGTCAGCGCGATATATTTCCATTGACAAAGGAAGCGTCTTCTGAAATATCAATATAAATATATATTGGCTGCATAAATTATACATGTTTTCATTTTAAGTTCCTGTATTGATTTAACGCAGAGCAAAGTATGTGTTCGGTTATTAAAATATAACTACTGAGGGAAATTATCGCTGTTAGATCGATATTAGAGTATTGCGTTTCACTCTACTTTTTAATAAGTAATGTTGCGCGTATGAACACGGTGGGTTTCCCAGTAGTAGACTGTTCAACAGTGGAGTGCACAACGGTGATAAAATATACTACTTTAAAAAAGTTAAGGAGCACTCGATTCTTTCATATTACTACCGTTAATCTGTCATGCCATATAATAACTATGACTGCCATGACAGATTAACTTTCGTCATATGAAAGAATCGGGTGGTACTTTACTTTTGAGTAGTTTACAACATAGGATATATAATATATAAAAAAGCGGGAAAAGGAACAAACAAGACATATACACAGCAAACGAACCATTTACTTTAATTTATATGAAAGGAAAACACTGAGTATCAATGTCTCACACCAAGGAAACATTGGGTATTAATATCTCACACCAAGGAAACATCGAGTATCAATATCTCACAAAAAGGAAACATTGCGTATCGACGTCTCACGCTAAGGAAATGATGAGTATTAATGTCTCACACCAAGGAAACATTGGGTATCAATGTCTCACACCAAGTGAGTAAGTGAGTTTGGTTTTACGCCGCTTTTAGCAATATTCCAGCAATATCACGGCGGGGGACACCACAAATGGGCTTCACACATTGTACCCATGTCGGGATTCGAACCCGGGTCTTCGGCGTGACGAGCAAACGCTTTAACCACTAGGCTACCCGACCGCCCCTCTCACACCAAGGAAACATTGAGTATCAATGTCTCACACCAAGGAAACATTGGGTATCAATGTCTCACACCAAGGAAACATTGAGTATCAATATCTCACACCAAGGACACAATGAGTATCAATATCTCATACCAAGGAAACATTGAGTATCAATATCTCTCACCAAGGAAACATTGAGTATCAATATCTCTCACCAAGGAAACATTGAGTATCAATATCTCACACCAAGGAAACATTGGGTATCAATGTCTCACACCAAGGAAACATTGAGTATCAATGTCTCACACCAAGGAAACATTGGGTATCAATGTCTCACACCAAGGAAACATTGGGTATCAATGTATCACACCAAGGACACAATGAGTATCAATGTCTCACACCAAGGACACAATGAGTATCAATATCTCATACCAAGGAAACATTGAGTATCAATATCTCTCACCAAGGAAACATTGAGTATCAATATCTCACACCAAGGAAAGATTGAGTATCAATATCTCACACCAAGGAAACATTGAGTATCAATGTCTCTCACCAAGGAAAGATTGAGTACATTTGAAACACAAAGGCAACACTGATAACCTTCTGGAAGTATCCCACTTACTCAAATAAGAACACTCAGCAGTACATATCTCAGTTACTCCTAGGAGACATTGCGGTGTTTGTCTCAGTCCCAGGGAATGAGGTGTGCCCATCCACCGACTGCTGTCGCGCACGCCATTCGCTGATCCCAGAGTACTGGCGAAAAGACGTAACTAAGAAGACGTAAACAGATAAGTTATATAACCCATATTATATTGTCGTCAAAACACACCACTGATAGTCCATTGTATTGTGTACGTTTTTAATTTTTCGTTCAAAAAATTTGGAGATTTGCATTTGTATATATTTTTACATACTATAGAGGCTACTCAACATAAAAACCAATGTTTCCAATTTTTGGGGTCCATAGTTTGCGAATAAATGACGCTCAAACTTGACCACTTGATGCCAGGGTAAATGACAGCAATAATGACTAGTTGTAGGTAAATATTATGAAAATGAGTTATCTCCCCTTGTGACATTGACCTTTCAAGTCAACATGGCTGAGACAACTCTGACAAGAAGAGTTTTTCCATCATCAAGGAAGGCTTATCATCAACCAAGACCCGCTGAAATTCATCTAAATAGGTAAGTGAATATTTATAGAATATTATGACGCTTGCTATCTATGTTGGTTCATTGATAATTATTGAGAAATTGAATGGCAATGATTTCTTCATAATAACATGACTGACAACATAGGCTTGATCTGTTTCATTAAAAGTATATTGCAACCATTTGCTACATGTTAAACTTAACTAGAATGCTCCTAGCTTATATTCAGTTTCAGGAAATTTCAATTTTAGTGTTAACTATCCTATTTAGCTCAAGTTATGCTACATAAAAGTTATATGCTGTCTGATACCTTGGGGCCCGTTTAGGGATTCAGTATAATTATTTTTGTTAAATATTGCAATTATTCTTGTTTCTTAAATTTTTCATAGATAATTTATATACTTTTACGTAGTATGCCAATCTTTTAAATGTACAGGTAATTATTTTATATGCTTGCATTAAAAACAATTTTCAATACATCCTTAAAAGGGCCCCACTGCAATGGTCTGTGCATGTCACATATTGTTGTGTCCAGACAACTAATTACTTTTGCTTGCAGACCTCAGATGATACGTTTAATATTTTGGTAATTTCACTTGCAAAATAAAACCCATAAGATATTGTAGTATACATGAAACATTTTTAGTAATGTTTTCCTAACAACTATGAATAATAGCAAATTCTAGTATGAAGACTTGAAATAAATCTTTTTACTAAATTACTAAAGAGCACAAACACTTTTTAAAAATATTTCTGGACATATATTTTTAATAAAGTATGTTTGATTATAAAAACAAACAAAAAATACTATTTCTATTTTCTTCTATTTTTACTTTATGATCTGTATTGTTTGTTTCAGAAACATTTCAACCTAAATGATGATACCATTACCACAGCTTGGGCAAGTGAGTCAGCAGATATCAACATCAGTCACTACAGATTGGAATCTTTGTATTCTGTGCCAAAAGAATGCCCATCATTGATCATCCATACTAGTATCGCAACCAAGATTGTATTCTTACGACCGCTTACTCCATGTTTTGTTTGAACGAGCGAATGTCCATGATGGTGAATATACTGGTATATGGCGAAGACTTGAAGGCTGTGACAGAGAAACTTTATCATCTCACAGTGCTGCCTGGCATCGGACTTGCTACTCCAATGCTACCAACAGCGATCAAATACAGCGAGCACGAGACAGGACACAGAAAGGAATACTTGATGATTCCACACCTTCAAAAAAGAGAGGCCGTAAAAGGAAAGGAACAGATCTCCATGAGGAAACATCCGCACCATTTACACGGTCGTCTTCAATGCCATTGGTCAAGGACTTGTGCTTCTTTTGCCAGGAAGAGGACAGACAGCCACTTTTTAATGTAAGGACCTTAAATGCTGGGGAAGATTTAAGATATGCCGTTGAAATTTCAAACAATCCTGACTTAAAGACCAGACTTTATTCATCAATCTCTCCAAGTGATGCCCATTCCATTGATGTAAGATACCACAAAAACTGCTGGACTACAAATGTATTTCATGTTTTGCGCCAGGAAGCCAACAAAGAAAACAAGCAATCTGAATCTGGACATCAAAGTGCCTGTTTAACCGAACTTATTAATCTGGTATGTAGACAGACAGACAACAAGGCCTATCTGTCAATGGGAGATATTGAAGTTACATATATCAACATGCTGGGAGGTAAAGACTGCTTGTCTGACCATGTACCTACTTATTCCAGGCAGTGGCTGAAAGATATGATACTTACAGAATTACCATCCGTCAGATCTGTTCTGCAAAAAGACCGAAGAAAACCGGCTGTTCTCTACTCCCCTGAAGCCTGCGAGAAAGAGATGGTGCATGCTGCAATTGAAAACGACCAGGGCATGGACAACATGAAGGTTATGTACAAGTCAGCACAGCTTGTACGAAAGAGTATAGAAGCCTTTGACAGAGATGACAAAATCAACAATCCCCTATCTGTTACAAG